GGGGGGGGAAGGAGAGGGCGGGCTCACCCTTCTCCTCGTTGAGCTTCTGCGCGGCGGCGATCTTGGCGAAGTAGCCCTTGACGCGCTCGAGCTCGGGCACGACGGGATGCGTGGCTGGGTCGATGCCCTCTACCTTGAGGTACACTGCAGACAGTGGAGTCAGCGGCGGACTCTAGCGACAAGCGAAGCGCAGCAGCACGGTCCAAAACGCAGCGCGCTCGCCACACTTGCTTGCCATTGGAGACGTGATGCGAGACAGGTGCTGCAAGGGTCTCGCCGCTCTTCCCCCCCTCCCCCCCTCTCGCCTCCCTTGCCCCTCTTGCTCTCGCTGCCCACCGGAGCCGGAGCGGACCACCGATAGCCGCCAAGAGCACGCATAAGGGCTTGCAGAGCGGCATGGGCAGGGTCTGCTCGAGCCTCTCCTCGGCGTTCTCGCCCTTCTCTGTTCTCCCGCCTCTCGGCCGCCATCACATCCCTTGTGCTCACTCCACACGAGATCCAGCAGCACATAAGCCACGCTGACGTTCAGCCTCGCAGCGTCCAGTCGTCCATCCAGCTCCGCCCGGCTTGCCTCGCCACTCTTAGTCTGCACGCGCTCGGCGTGCTTCGCCTGCGTCTGTGAGCTGCCGCTCTCCAGCTGCTGTGCGAGCGCAGAGAGCGGGGAGGCGAGGAGGGGATCGAGCGTGGACGTGAGAGTGGCGAGCGCGGAGCGAAGGGTCGCTAGGGTGGGCGCGGGGTCGTTGAGAGCGGACATGGCGAAAGTGGAGTAAGAGTGATGGGGTGTGGGAGGAAGGAGCCAGAGGCGCGTCGCCTTCTCTTGTGCTGCACGCCAAAAAGTTGCCGCGCCCCTAGGCGCCGCGGGCCAACTGCATGTCAGACGCGACTCGCCTGCCTTGCTGCACGACGACGACGACGACGAGCGCAGCCATCCCGCATCACACTCGATCACACGAGCGAGCGAAGACGAGAGCGGGTCAGATTAGCGCCGGAGTAGAGTCGGAACAGATGCGGGATCACGGAGCGGTAGCACAGAGCGGGAGCAGGGCCACGGAGCGGTAGCGGGACGAGGCGGGGCGAGACTGAGTCGGGACGGTGGCGCAGCGAGATGACGGGAGCTATGTGCAGGGCTGGGGCGGGAGAGCAGCGAAAGCGGTGAGTAAGTGGGTATACGGCGCGGTAGGGTGATGATGGATGGGTGAGGAGAGGATGTGCTGCGGAACCAAAGGAGAAGAGGAAGGCGCGGAGGAACTGCGAGAGGCGGTGTCAGGACAACGGAGCACGACGAGGATGGCGAAGCGGAACGCACCAGCTACGAGCTCATGTGGCTGTTCTGGCTTGCGTTGCGCGACAAGCTCGGCGCCGCCAGCAGTGTCAGTGCCTCGTCGACCGGCGAGCGGCGCATCGTCTTCCGCGTCTCCTCTGCATGCTCGAGCTGCGAGTGCTCGGGCGTGCGCCAGATGATCGACTCCTGCGACGGTGCATCGTGCAGTACCAGACTGCCGAATGCACCGTGCGCGCGGTGAGAGTCGATGGCGAGGTGCTGAGAGAGCGGGAACGGGTCCCACACGCCCGCTTCGTTCTCGAAGAAGCCAGAGTCGTCCGGCGAGGCGCGCGCGCTCGTCGATGCAGGTGTGGGCTTGTCCGGAAACGGCGAGGGCGTAGTGCTTGCGCAGATGAAGGCGTTGTAGTCGGGCGAGGAGTCGACGGGACGAAGCGTGTGGCTCGACTGCGAGGACTGCATCGAGTGATCTTGACTGCCCGTCGACGGGAAGGTGGACAGCTCGGAGATGCTCACGCCGCTGCTAGCATCGCTGCCCGGCGAGCAGCTCGGGTGCGACTCGTTCTTGTACACGGCGAGCATCTCGCGCTGCTGCTTCTGCTGCGCGAGCTGCTGACGACGCAGCGGCGAGTCGTGCAGGATCATGTGCTGGAACGTCGGCATGCTCAGCGGCCTAGGCGGCGAGCTCATCGAAGCGTCCGACGGCGAGGAACCAATGCTGAGGTCCTGTGCGCCGCCGATGAGCGGGGGCACCGAGGGGCCGACGCTGTTGGTGCTCGAGCCCGAGACGGTGCGGCTGCCCGTCGAGTCGCGACGGCCAGCCAGCGAGGTTGTGGGCGGCGGCACGCGGAGCGAGAATTGCGCCGCGCCAGGGAGAGTGAAGGCGAGCTTGGTCTGGCCGTCGAGCGACGTGGTAGTAGGTGATGCACCGATGCTGGCCTTGGGGTCGACGGGCGGCGAGGGCGTGCGCGGCGTCGTCTTCTTGGGCAGCCTGCGCGTCTTGCGGCCGGCGATGGCGCGCGTGGCGTTGGCCGTGGTGACGAGCGCAGCAGCCGGCGGCGTCTCCTCGCGCTTGGCCGGCTGGCTCACCGGAGCGAGAGGCTTGCTCGGGTCTCTGAGGCCCTTGGCTTGACGCTCAGCCGCCGCTTCGGCAAGCACGACGTCGAGCCAGTCGCCGACCTTCTCGCGCGCCGTCTGGTGCACCCAGTCGATGAGCTTCGCAAAGCCCGCCTTGCACGCCACCAGATCCGCCTCGATGTCGGCCTTCTTCCGCGCTCTGCCCTCCTTACTCAGCGTGAGAAGCGGACGGAGCGCAGGCGTCGCATCCTCGACGACGGCGCGGTCCGACGCCGAGACCGAGAGCGCATCCACCAGCGCCGACATGCGCGCCTTGTCCGACCATGCGAACTTGCGGAAGAAGTCGGTCCAGCCGGAGCGGCGACGAGCGTTGATGAACCACAGCACGACTTGCTCGTACGTGATCGTCTTGTTGCTCGCCGCGGCAGAGCCGACGCTCGGGATGGCGACGGCGCTGCTCGGCCCAGCATCGCTACCCGTGGCGAGCGCGTTGGTCTCGGTGACGAGCGCCGTCTTGTCGGCCTTGGTCGGGAACGGCGAGGAGAGATTCTCGCGGAACCAGCGGCGCAGCACGACGGCGTTGAGCTGTAGCTCGGCGGCGGTGGCGGCGGTGGGTGCAGTGGTGGACGCGGCTGGCGTAGGCACGGACTGCGGCGTGACGGCTGGCGAGTTGGCGAGGCGAGACGGCATGCGACGATCTTGCAGCGAAGCCCTGCCAGCGCGTGCGCCGAGCTCCTCATTGTCTTTCTCCAGGATCTCAGCACAGCCATTGCGGAAGTCGAGCAGAACTCCCGCAAGGCCTCGCTCGATGCGACAGAGGCTCTCCGACATGATCGTTGTTCGCTGTGCGACCCGATGAGCTAGCTCGATGGTAGAATCGTCGAGCGCACCGCTTGCACGCAGCTGGTTAAAGCTTGCCGAGACCGCGGCCCAGCGGTCGACCCCTCGCTGCAGAGCATCTCCTGGCTCGATACAGGACTGAAGGAGTGCCGGCTCGATCTCCTGCAGGGACACTCGCAGGTCATGAACGCTGAGCATGATGACGGCGGTTCGGAAAGTAGTGCGAGGCGGAATGAGCGCAGGATAAGGCGAGGACTCGTTGTCAAGAAAAGGTGGTGGTGTCAGGGATGATGGTGGTGGTAGTGGTGAAGAAAGGACGAGGCGAAGCGAGGACAAGGGATCGTGCGCCGCAAAGGCCAGGTAATAGGATCAGGCACGCACAGCACGCGCCGCCGCGCGCCCGAGCCGCGAGGCCGCGGCGCGGCCGGGGCGCGCGGCTGCTGCTGCTGCATCTGCTGCGCGGCGCGGGTGCGCGGCTCGCGGCGACCGGCTGGCCTTGAGTAGTCGACGACATGCGTACGCGCGCCGCCGCGAGCGCTGTCTTTGTCCTTCCTTCTTCTCCCTCGCCCCCCTCCTCTCTCCTGCTTTTCGCCCTCGAGTCGGTACCCTGCCTTGACCACATCACCCTCAAGCCGCCCAGTCCCAATCATGACTTCTGCTCGCCTCGATATCCTCGCAGAGATACACAGACTCTCGACGCTCGTACACCACACGGTTGGGCGCTCGCTCGGGCAGTGCTCTGAACGCGATACTCCCCTCGGGCCCAGAAGCCAGCCAGCCTCGCAGAGCTTTCAGCGCTCTCTGACGCTTCTCCGAGACGAGGCCATCGCATCGCTCGAGACGGATCTGTCCGAGCGGCCACTACGTGCAGACGTGCGCTCGTCTCTCGTCGCGCGCTTCTCCGTCGCGTGTGACGAGAGCCTTTCGGCAGTTCAACGGGGGCGCGCAACAGCCCTGCACGAGACGTCGCTCCCGTCGGCCCAATACCTGGCCCAGGTCGAGCAGGCTCTGCTTCAATCGCTGTCACGTTCCCTCTGTTCAAATCGGCAGACGCTTCTCCGAGTCGTCGATGACGCCGTCGCGCGCTTCAGATCGGACGCTGAGGCTGCAGCCGCCGCCTCGCCATTCGGCGACGAGAGCGAGTACGGCGGCCCACAGCAGCCTGAGGACGCTCGCTCTCATCGCAGCGCCGCCGTCGCCATCCTCGAGAAGGCCTTCGAACACGCTCAGGCCATCACGATTGCGGAGAAGCAGCGCCTCGCGGCGGCGACGGGGCTGGAGCCGCGGCAGGTCACAATCTGGGTGAGTTCGGCGTTCAGATGCACTGTGGGGCTGCATTGGGGGCTGCGAGGCTGCCATTCTGGCGTAGCCTTGGGCGAGGACAAGGGCGGGCTGGCGCTTGCGTGGCCGCGTCGCGTGGCGGCGCGATCGAGGACAAGGGAACGGGCGGCGGCGGGGCGCGCGCGAAACGGCGGGCGCGCGTGCGTGCCTGGCTGCCAGCGAGACGCTGCCACGCGTCTCTTCCTTTGTGCTCGCGACTGCCTCGCTGACGCCCCTATCTCTGCGCACACAGTTCCAGAACCGGCGCAACCGCAAGACAAAGGATGGCGAGGCACGCTACGTCTCCGGCAGCGCCAAGTCCACCGCCGCCGAGCCGTCGGCGTCGTCTCCTGCGGCCGACGCATTTTCGCGCGACGCCGACGCTGCAGGCGCAGCTGCTCAGGGGCGCGCGTCGGGCAAACGCAAGAGCATGGCGCTCGACGACGAGCGCGACGATGCCCCACGGCTACCATCCACCTTCGGCCACGACGCCGACAAGCGCCGCCGCATGGCCGACGGCAGCACACAGCGCACCGGCAGCGGCTCGTCGGCGAGCTCGCTGGCGAGCCGCAGCAGCAGCTCCAGCCTCGGGAGCAGCCACACGAGCTGGGACAGCGTGCCGCGCTCGGCCAAGGCCCGCGGCGGCTCGGGCTCGTCGGGCACCACCGTCACGAGCATGGAGAGCTGGGCGCCGATGAGCTACAAGCCGCCGGGCATGTCGCTCACCGGCGCCGCGGCGCACATGTCCGAGGTCGAGCTGCAGCCCGTCTGGCTCGCCGGCTCGCAGTCGCAGGGCTCGCTGCACGGCGGCGGCCTCTCTCAGCAGCAGTGCATGCGGCAGCACGACGAGCACATCTCGCAGAGCCTCAGCATGATGGACACGGCCTACGCCGCGCCGCAGTCGTCGCAGGCCTCGTCGGACGGTTCGCCGCCGCCAGAGCCCAGCTGCACGCCGCTGCCGGGCGACATGCTGCTGCTCGATGCGTATGGACAGCAGCTGCTCGACTGGGACGACCTCGAGCTGGATGCTTCGCTCAATGGCGCGCTGGTACTCAGTCCCGAGCAGCTCGACCTCGCCAGCGGCCTCTCTGCCGAGCTTCAAGCCGCCGGCTGGAGCCCAGGCGGCATGGACCTCACCACGCCGCGCCAGCCGTCCTTCGCGCAGTCAGCGAGCACGCCAGTCTCTCCCGCCACCATCAGCCAGACCATCCTCGCCTGGCCAGAGAGCACCACGGACGCGTCTGCATTCTTCGCCAGCTTCGGGCCTGAGGCTTTCGCCGATCTGCTTCCCGCCGACGCCGACCCCAAGGCGCAAGCACCGCAAGAGATCCATGTCCCCGTTCACGTCGACATCGGCCCGGACACGTCCTTCTCCTTTGCCGCCGGTCTCGAGAGCTGGGCCGCATGCCCGACGTCGCTCGAGCACGTCATCGAGCAGTGGAAGGGCTTCGTGCCGTCTGCCACGCCCGAAGAGCTCGCGTCAAGCAGCGCGATGGACATCGACGACTCGCAGATGAACGAGCTTGGCGAGCTGCGCCGGCACAGCGAGCAGGCGCTGTTCTACGAGGAGAGCCAGCAGCCTATGCTGCTCGCGTAGCTTCTCTGCGGCCAAATCAGCGCTCCATCGGACCTCGTCTTCATCTAGATACCCACGCCATCTTCCCGCTTTGCTCTCCTGCCCTTCCCGCCTCGCTAGTGCCTTCCCGCTGCTCACATCCCGCTCCGCTTCTTTCTCGCCAGCACGGCGCTCTCGCCTTCCTCCTCCTTCGTGCCCTGTCCATTTGCTCTGCTCTGCCGCTCACCTCTCTCGCCGCGCCTCGCTTTCTACATAGTCACGTCTCGCCTCGTCTGCTCGCTTCATTGTTCCCGCTTGCGAATGCATTGTCCCTGCACATCCTCGCCAGCTGCGCTGCTTTCGCTTTCTTCTCATGACCCGTCGTGCGAGCCCGACATTCCCATGCGAGCGCTCGGGCCGCGTGACTTCATACAGAGGCGGGCCAATGCGGCGAGCCGACGAAGCCCGGCCATGAAAAGTGTGATTAAGTGAGGGGCGTGTGCGCAGTGTGGCGGCCAAGTCCGCAAGCGTCGCATGATGGCTGGGCAGAGCGGCCAGCGTCGATGGTGGAGACACGCAGGAGAGCCATCGCGAGCTCGTCGTCCAGCGACGAGGCATCTCAACCCTGCAGCACGCGATCGCGGTCGTTGGCGCCGCGGCCGAGCGCTTCGGCGGCGAGGTCGAAGAAGGCCGCCTGTTCCTCGCTCCATGCCTTGCCGCTGCGTGAGAAGAAAGTAGGCGTGAGCAGGACAGCAAGACGGCATGGCCGTGCGGGAAAGGGCTACGCACGGACTGCGGAAGCTGGCGTTGATCAGACGACTCAGCTGCTCGCGCAGCACACGCAGCGCCAGCAGCGACTTGGCGTCGGACACGACGAAGCGAATGCGCTGCCGATCGATGTAGAGGCTCGACGATGTGATCTTTCGGGAGAGGCTTCAGGTGAGCGAGCCATCAGCTGCACGAGCGGGAGGACACACCTTGAAGTCCGCATCGCCACACATGAGAATGAGAGCCCGGTCATCGACAGCGCCCGTCTCCCACGCATATAGCTTGCGCGACTGCATGATCGTGAAGTAGACGAGGTGGTTGAAGCCGCGCGGCAGGTCGGCAAAGCGCATGCGGAAGTTGACCGAGCTGGCAAGCAAGTGTGAGCGAGGGTCAAGGGTCGGCGTGCAGCGCACTCACCTCGGGTGGATGCTGGCCGGGGCGTTGTTGCCAATCGTGCGCAGCTGAAATGAGCGAGGCTCAATGGCCAGCAGCTTCGGGTAGAGACCAGTGCAGAGCGCAGCGTTGAGCACGGCCAGCGAGTTGGCGTTGATGCTGAGCTCGGCGGGCAGCTGCAGCGGCGCGCGAGACCGTCCACTGCGGAAGCGAGCGCGCGCGAGATCCTGCTTCGTCTGCGCGTCGACCTGCACGAAGCCCGAGTCGATGAGGTAGCCGAGGTACTGCTGCCGCAGCTCCTCGATCTGCTGCAGGTTCTGCGGGCTCAAGAAGTTCTTGCTGCAGAATTGCCGGGCGAAGTTGTTGTCGATGGAGCGTCGCCACGCCTCGAAGGCTCGCGCACACGTCACAAAGTCGCTGTTGCCCGCTGCAAAGCTGGCCTTGGCACGGTCGGCCTCTTGCTCGCGGCCGAACGGCGTGATGAAGGGCGACTTGGAGTTGAGTGTCGCGGCGATGGTGAGCGCTGGGTCGAGGGCCTTCATCAGCGCCGCAGTGAGCAGGAACTTGCCCATGTGCACGTCGAGCGGCAGACGCGACAGATGCCGGCCGAGCGGTGTGATCTCCTCGCTCGTCGTCAGCGCCTTGACCTCGACGAGCGCAGAGATGGCGCGCTGGATGTTGACGGACGAAGGCGGATCCATCGCCTTGGTCAGGGCATCCTCGATGCTCGTGCCGATGCGCACCTTCATGACCTTGAGCTTGAGCGCGAGGTCCTGCAGCGAGAGACGCAGGATCTCTGGCAGCGGGTGGTCGGCGAACTGTGAGGGTGTCAGCGCAGGATGAGGGCGCTACTGGCACTGGCACTCACGTAGGAGTCGTGGCGGACCTTGGTGAACAGATGGAAGCAGAGGCCCTTCTGCACACGGCCTGCACGTCCTCGTCGCTGCTTGGCATTGCTCTTCGCGACGAAGCACTCGACCAGCCGGCTGAGCTGTCGCTTCTCGTCGAAGCGCATCTCACGGTGCTTGCCGCTGTCGATGACGCAGGTGATATCGGGGATCGTGATTCCCGTCTCGGCAATGTTCGTTGCGATGACGATCTTGCGCACGCCCTTTGGTGGCAGCGCAAACACACTGCCCTGGTCCTCACTCGAGATCGTCGAGTGCAGCGGGAAGATGCGGAATGCCTGCGAGCCGAAGACGCGGTGCGCCTGCAGGATGTCGTTGAGCTTGCGAATGTCGGCGATACCCGGCAGGAAGACAAGGATGGCTGCAGAGTAAGCCTGCAGCTCGGCGTCTTGCAGACAGACGCGCTCGATGAGGGAGACGATCAGCTCGTGCTGGATCACGTTCTCGTCGAGCCGGTCGAGCGTCGAGATCGTCTTGGGCTGGTAGCGCTTGACAGCCTCCTTGCCGAGGCCGCTCGACGCAGGTCCATCTCGCTCATCGTCTTCATCGTCGTCCGGGTCTGGCGCATCGTCCTCCTCCGTCGACGCCAGCTTGGCGCGATTGCCGGGCGCGTCTGCCTTTCTCGAGTTCCAGCGCTTGGGGCGGCGCGCATACGGCGAGCCGTCCTCGACGATGTAATCGCACAGCTCCACCGCATCCTCGAGGTAGCGCACGTCGACCGGGAAGGTGCGGCCGGGCACAGAGACGGTAGGACAGCCGCCGAAGTAGGCGCTGATGCGCTCGGCGTCGAGCGTGGCAGACATGAGAATGACCTTGAGATCCTTGCGCACCTCCATGAGACTCTTGAGGATGATGAGCAGGAAGTCCGACTCGATGGAGCGCTCGTGCACCTCGTCGAGAATGATGTGCTGCAGAGGTGTGAGCTACGTGCGGATGTGAAGGGCCAAAACTACGCACAGTAATGCCCTCGAGCCGCCCGCCTTCGAGCATGCGCAGCACGATACCGGTCGTGGCGTATACGAGGCGAGCGTTCTTTCCGATCTTGCTCTCCAATCGCACGCCGCTTCCAACAAGCGACGAGTCGGAGCCAACGACACCCGGCGCCTCCCCCAGCTCTTGCGAGACACGCTCGGCGAGCGAGATGGCGCTGATGCGGCGCGGCTCCGTCACGTAGACGCGGCAGGGCAGGCCTTGAGAGAGACACGACTCGACGATGTACGCTGGCACCTGCGTCGACTTGCCGCAGCCCGTCTCGCCGGACAGCACAAAGATCTGGTTGTTGGCCATGATCTCGAGGATGTGCTCCTTGAAGTTGGCGATTGGCAAGCCTTGTCGCCCAGGCTAGCATACAGCGGGTCAGCGTCGAGCCATTCAGAGCGTCGCGGCGCGACTCACCAGCATGGCAGCATACCGCTGCTCACTCGTCCTCCGCTGCCACATCGCGCGCACAGCTTCCGCCTCTTCCTCGCTGTACACCCTCCCGGGAGCCGGCGCTTGGACGTCTCGCTGCTCTTCCGCAGGCGTAACAGCGCCGCTGCCATCTACGTCGGCGTGACTGACCAGGCCGCCACTGCTCGCAGCAGCAGCAGCCTTCTCGCGCTTGAGGCGTGCCTTCTCCTCGTCCTTCTTGCGCTCCTCCTCCAGTCGGGGAGCCACGAGCTCGCCGATGCGCGCAACATGTGTGCGCCGACGCGCATCGCGCTCAGAAGCACGAGCGACCTCCAGCTCATCCCACCACTCGCGCCAGCCCTTGCCGAGACCGCGCTCAACGTGTCGCTCGCGCTCGATGCAGCTGAGCGCCAGCACGGCCAGCAGCTCGTCTGCAGCGCTTGGCGAGCCGGCAGCGAGTGTCGTGAGAGTGAAGACGTCCAGCACTGCCTTTTGCGCGCCTGGCGGGGTCCAACGCAGATGCAAGCGGGATCGACAGACGCTGCGCCCACCGAGCTGCTCAAAGCGCGCCGAAGAAGCCGGGTCGATGCGCCTCAATGCCTCGCCGAGCAGCGCGCGCGGCATCTTGCCTCCTCCTCCGCCTCGCAGTGCCGCAGCAGGCAGCGGATAGACGGTGATGAGCTCTCCTGTCGCTTCGTCCGTTTGCTCGGTTGGCGCCTCATCGAGCATGTCGCCGAACATCGGTGCGTCGTCGTCTGATGCGGCATCGCCTGCTTCTGAGGGTGCGCCTGAGGGCGCAGCTGATGGTGGTGCAGTGCTCTGCGGCGTGGCTTCTTCCGGCGCAGCGGTTGAGGCTGCCGAAGCGGCGGGCGTGGAGCTCTCTTCGTCGACGCTCCCATCCTCCAGGTCCGCCTTCTCCAGCTTCCGCTTCTCCTCCTTCTCCTTCTCCAGCAGTTCGACGCGCGCCACTTCTGCGCGGAAAGCCTCTTCGCCAGCCTTCTTGTCGAACCACTTGCCTCTCCCTGCTTGCTCCCGCACGCTCTCTACCTCGGCCTTGATCGCGACGAGCCTCTTCTCTGCGTCTGCCACTTCGGCACGCAGCGCCGGCTGCGCCTCGCTCTCGTTGGCGGCCACCTTGGCCTTGGCCAGCTGTGCGGACGTGCGGTCGATGCGCACGATGCCGGCGCGAGCGCGGCCCCAGGAGCCATTGGGATCCTCAAGCGGCTCGACGCCTTCCCACGCGCTGCTCAGCTCGGTCACCAGCGCAGTGATCTCGCGCAGCTTAACGCGCAATGCCTCGCGCCGCACTGCCAGTTCGCCTGGCGAGAGTTCGAGCAACGCAGCAGCTGCCGCTGGCACGCGAGGCGCTGGTGCAGCGGCTCGCGTGGGCACTGTGCGCTCGAATGTGTAGCCTGGGTGCTGTGGCGGCAGTGTCGTGTCCTCGGCCGTCTCGTCCCGCTCGCCGCGGTTGCAGCGTGCCCGTGAAGCGTCGGCTTCGTCGTCGGGCAACGTGGCGTAGAGATACGCCGCTGCCTCCTCGACGTCGACGCCAGCGACCCGTAGCGCCTCATCAGCTTGTGCTGCGTTGAAGCCGAGCCGCAAGAGCAGAGCGTGCGCGGTCAGAGCGCGTGCGAGCAGCGCCATCGGCAGGGAGGACGGTCCGAGCGCGGGGTAGAGCGAGGCGAACGAGACGTCGGGCGTTGCTGAGGAGCTTGGCTGCGGCGCCAGCGCCAAGATGCGATCCCGCAGTGGGATTTCCATCGCGAACGAGGGCAGCGAGGACGCGAGCCGCCGGTCGAACTCGATGACCTGTCGTTTCGCCTCAGCTGCTGCAAGAGCACGCCTGACAAGCGCCGACTCACCTTCCAGTTCCGGCTCGTCTCCTTCTCAGCGCGCTCCCATACGCGCTCTACAATGCTCTGCAGCGCCATCTCCTCCGCGCTAGCCGGGTCCCACTCCTCTGCGGCGCCAGGCCGCGCAGTGTGCGGCGCATTGGCATCCTGCGTTGGCGCCTCGGCGGCTGCTGCTGCAGGTGCAGGCTCCGGCTCAGGCGCCGGCTCGGGCCGCTTGCTGGGCACCGAGGTGGTGGCGAACCCACGCGCCGGGTTCGGCTTGAGCGCCGCCTTTTTCTTCTTGGCCATGCGTGCGGATAGGGGTGGAGAGGGAGAGGGAAGGCAGAGCGGCGCGTGCGGCAAGGCGGATCTTCCAGCGGCGGTGCGAGGTGCAGTGCCCGCGAAGTGGAGGGAGCCGCGCGCCGGAGTCGCGCGCGCGGCCCCCGCCAGCCGCCTTGCTCGAGGCCAGCCCCGCCATCCCTCCTCCATCTCTGCTGCTATCTTCAGCCCTCCATCCTGCGTCCGTCGGTGTCCGACGCACCAGGAACAGTCATGTGCCGTGCCTTCTTGTGTCGGCCCCACACCGGCACCAGGTGCAGGCCTAGTGTGCTGAAGCGGCTGAGGTCAGCCACGTACTTGGCAACTCCTCTCGCCTCCTCTCTCTCGAGTCATCTCTCTTCCCCACAACGAGAGCTCAGCCGAGGCCTGAAGGCTGGAGAGAGGCGGCCCGGCTCGGTGCGAAAGGCTAGACACGGCTCGAGCTTGTCGGCTCTCCTGCCTGCTGAGCCCTCCTGGCCCCTGTCCCAGGAGCGAAAGTGCTCAGGGCGCAGCTGAGTGAAACTAAGCCGCCCTCAGGGGACGGCGCAGCTCGTCGACTACGTTTTCCCGTTTGGCGCTTCTATTAACCTGCCTCGCCGCTGCTATCGCTGGCGCAAGCGAAGTGTATTGAGCGCCCAATCCGGCTCGAGTAGCAGCCGGATACAGGAGCCGGCCCTAGGGCGAGGAGGGCGCAAGGAACGCCCCTTGGGTGCCTGACCGCAGCCGTAGCCTCGCCTTTCGTATCGCCCGACCGAGGACAAGTGCCCCCAGGGGACAGGAGGCGTAGCGTGTCGTGTGTGCGTGCCGCTGCTTTGGATCGAGGCTGTGGGCTGTACCGCTGCCGCGCTGCGGCACAGCACCATGCAGGCCTGCGCGAGCAAATGAGGGTGCGTGCCGGCCGGCCGGCAGCGAGCAGCACGGCCCCCTATCCTGTACGCTACCCTCAGACCTCGTCCCACAAAGACGCACAAGACCTCTTGACCTCGTTTGCTGCGCTGCGCATCCTGCTTCTCTCTTCTCTTCTTTCGTCTACACCTCACATCTCTCTTCTTCAGACCGTCGAGCCGGTCTCACAAACCACGCACACACTCCACATCGTCGTTGCCAACGCCGCAGCACCCATCAACGAGAAAAGCATACGAGCTGGTCTCGCCCTCTCGCCCTCTCTCTCCACCTCTCCTCCGAGCTTGCTCACGCGAGCTCCCCACATCCATTTCGACTGCAAACGCGCACGTCAGCGCACAGCACCTCCAGCTCAGCTCACGTCCGACGTCGACGCATCTCAGCATCGAGCTCCCCCGTCGAGCGGGCCTCCAAGTTCAAGGCGTCGCAGCGAGCGTCACGTCACGCGAGCATCTCGTCCCCGCGAGACGCAGGCACACGACCTCGTGCAAGCCGCTCGAAGCAGCAACTCGAAGGTTGTCGGCCCGCCGCTGCGTCGTCCATCTCGCCTCGCCGTCGTCGTCGAGAAGACCCAGCGCGTCCCCCGTGGTCACCTCGCCGACACTGCGCATCTGCCGCGACGCCGTGCAGGACAGCAACGCGCCCTCAGCCCGCGCTAGCGTGAACAGCATCTCGGGCGGCTGAGCAGTCTTCGCGGCGAGCATCTCGCAGCTGCAGGCACCCCGCGTCACCCGGCGGTCCACGCGTGTGCTGCATCACCACGGCACGGGAGGAGCATCTCGTTCGCCAACGTCTAACGCGCAGCCCTCGGGCACCTCGCCGCTCCTCGCTCGCCTCGACTGGCCTCTCGAGCAGCCACAGCGCTCGAACAAGGCAGGCCAGACGTCGCATCAGGCAAGGCGAGAAAGCAGGCACCGCCGGCCACCCGCCGCACCGCAGCCTGCAGGTCAGCCACCTCGCAGCGGCAGCAGCGACAGCGAGCGACACTCCACGTCGCGTGCAGCGCCTCAAGTAGGCCGGGGCCGCCGCGTCGCGCTTCCTTTCTGACCAGCACAGCCTGCGTCTGCTGTCCTCACCCCTTCCCTCTTCCCCTCTCTCGTTCCCGTTCGTCCCCTTCATTCCCATCTTACTCCTCCTTTCTCTTTCTCTCGGGCCGGTCCCACCTTTTCTGCCTCGTCCTTTCTCATCCACACTTATCCTCCTCCTCTCCCGTATCTTCTTACCTCGCCGCCACTCTCTCACGATGTTCACGCGCACGCTCCTGCCCATGCCGCTCGACACCGCCAAGGCCGCCGCACTGCAGCCGGCGCCCGCCCTGCCGCTGCAGTTCATCGACGACGACGCGTCGAGCAGCGACAGCGATGACACGTCCGCCTCGTCCGACACGGGCAGCGACGGCGAGACGGCCACGGCCGACCTGGGCGCATGGGCCGTCTCGTCCGACTCGGCAGGCGAGGAGAGCGAGGGCAGCGATGACACGGACGCCGAGATCCACGTCGCCGTCGTCGCCGAGACGACGCCGCGCGCCACCAGCGCCGCCGCTGCTGCCAGCTCGTTGGCGCAGATGCTCAAGCTCGAAGGCTGCTCGCCGTCGTCCGTCGAGCTCAACAAGAGCAGCTTCTCGCCCTCGGCCAACGATGGCACCTCCAGTCCGCTGCCGGCTGTGGCGCAGAGCGCTGGCGCACCTTCCCGCTCGCGCTCCTCGACCGGCGTGCTGCAGCTGGCCTACCTCGATCTCTGCGACGCCCTCCTCACGCCCGTGCTGCCGCGCCGCTCTTCATCGCTCGAGGAGTCAGTCTCCACGATTGAGATTGAGCAGGTGTGGGATGGCGACGATGAAGGCTCGGCGTCTCCTCCGCCGCTCTCGCCCAACGAGCGCAGCGCAGGTCGTCGAGCTGCCTCGGCACGCATGCTTCGCACGCTGCGCTCCGCATCCATCAGCACGCCCGAAGCACCGGAGCTCTCGCGCCCCGCTCGTGCGTTTCCTCGTCCGCTCGGCCTCGCGGCCCACCGCGTCGCCTCGTCGGCCGGCCAACCGGCACGTCGTCTTCCCTCCCTCTCGCAGATCGCAGGACGTGCCGCCATCGTCCGTCCGGCACCGATGCCACTCGGCACGCCGCGTCCCTGCTCCCGCACGCCACTACCCGCCTCTGCGCGCGTCGTCTCCTGCCCCGACGGCCGTGCCGTGCCGCTCTGGGTCTCTGCAGGTCGTCCGGGCGGCGAAGGCAGCGTGGCAGTGTACATCACTCCGCCCACACCCCGTGCGGCGGGCTGGTCACCTCTACCTCCGCCACACGTCTTTCCCGCACCCACGCCGTCGCTGCTCACGTCGCCGCGTCCCGATCTCGCACCCGGACGCACGCGCATGCAACGCGAACAGGCAGCTGCCGCTGAAGAAGCACGTCGTCTGTGGGCGCTGTGGGCCGAAGCGGCACTTCAAGCGACGCCCTCGACGCAGCTCCAAGTGCAGAGCGCCCAAGCGCACCTGGCCACCTCGCAGGATCTGCGTGCCGCACAGCGCTGCGTCGGCGAGTCGACTGCCCTGCCTCGTCCGGCGCGTCGCGCTACGATGATGGCTGCTGTGCCTCGTGCCAACGGCAGCAGTGGTCTCGGTCTCAGTGAAGCAGACTCGGCGACTTCCTGGCGACGCGCGCCTTCGACGGCGCCCATCTCGGCACAGGCGGACGGACGACGCTTCTCGGCCGCGCCGCCGGCCACGCGCGTGCGCTTCGAGGAGCAGAAGAAGCCGGCGCTCCTGAGTGCGAGCCCGCCGCGCTCGAAGGAGGGAGAGGCGATGCTGCGTCAGCTAGCTGCGAGACACAACTAGATGTTCACGCGCCGAACGAGGCGCTGGAAAGCGAAGCGAGCGAAGAGGCGGTCATTGCCCCTTCTTCGCTGAGATGAGACACAAGGTTATCGATAATACGTAGATACTCCTCCTCCTCCCCCCCCTCCCCTCATTCTTACCATCATCCATCATCACTCGTCATCACTCATCATCACCCGGCATCTTGCTATTACCATCCTTAACCCCCTCCGCTCTCCGACGGGTGTGAGCTGAGGCGAGGCTGAAGCGGCGGAGGGCAGGCGAGGCTGCAGCGCTGCGGCTGGTGAAGAGTGCCGAAGCATCGACAGACGGGAGGGCCAGAGCGGTACAAGGATACAGCTGAGGTTGCTCGTCTGTCACCGTCTGTTCAGCCGCGAGAGGTCACGCCTTGACGGCCGGGATGGACTGTGGTGTCAGTTGCAGGAGCTGGCTCACCGGTGCGAAGACGCAGCGCGGGTGAGAGACGCGCCGAATGAGCCTCCGCTGAACGGCAGAGTTGGCTGCCTTGAAGTGCGGGCGCAGACGGGAAGCTGGCGGCTGGCCGCGCACCCTCCGAAGGCGAAGGCAAAGGGCAGCGCTCGACGACGGCGGCCCTCTGGATACCGGCAGCAGTGGCGGCGCATGACACCAGCAGCATCGCAGCGGAGCACGCGACGCGTAGAGAGGTGCGGCTCACACGCGCGCGCCTCGGCTGCTGGCGGCCCAGGGGCGGCGCCGCGGATTTTTTGCCGTGCGCGACTGCGCGGGTGTGATGCTGGCGTGGCTTGGCTGCTGCTGCCTCGCCTGCCTCTTCTTCACCCTCACACCCCACCGCAGACCCCCCTCCACCAGCCGGCGCCACGATGAAGTACATCATCGTCTCAGGCGGCGTCATCTCCGGCATCGGCAAGGGCGTCATTGGTGCGCCTGCCGTGCTGCAGTGATGCTGTCTCGCCGCTGACGCTGCTCTGCCGCACTGGCACTCGGCCTCTCGCCCAGCTTCGTCGACGGGCCTGCTGCTCAAGATGCTCGGCCTCAAGGTCACCGCCATCAAGATCGACCCCTACATGAACATCGACGCCGGCACCATGGCGCCGACGGAGCACGGCGAGGTGTACGTGCTCAACGACGGCGGCGAGGCCGACCTCGACCTCGGCAACTACGAGCGCTACCTCGACGTCACCCTCGCGCGCGACAACAACATCACCACCGGCAAGATCTACCGCGAGGTCATCGAGAAGGAGGTGAGTGGGCGGCGCGAGGGATGTGCGGCAGTGGCAGAGTGCAGGCCGCGCCGGCATGCCGTTGCGGCAACAGCCATGCTGCGGCATCTTCTCTCTGCCGTGCTGACTTTCTCCCTCCAGCGCCGCGGCGACTACCTCGGCAAGACGGTGCAGATTGTGCCGCACCTCACGTCTGCGATCCAGGACTGGATCGAGCGTGTGGCCGTGCAGCCCGTCGACGAGACGGGCTCCGAGCCCGACGTGTGCATCGTCGAGCTCGGCGGCACGGTGGGCGACATTGAGAGCGCGCCCTTCGTCGAGGCCATGCGCCAGTTTCAGTTCCGCGTCGGACAGGAGAACTTTGCCCTCATCCACGTCTCTCTCGTGCCCGTCGTTGGCGGCGAGCAGAAGACGAAGCCGACGCAGGCGGCCATCCGCGACCTGCGCGGCCTCGGTCTTGTGCCGGACATGGTGAGTCACGCATGCTGCAGCGACGCTCGATGCATCGCTCTGACCGCAACGCCAGATTGCTGCCCGCTGCGCCACGCCACTGGACCGCAGCGTCATCAACAAGCTCTCCATGTTCTGCCACGTCGGCCCGGAGCAGGTCATGGCCGTGCACGACGTCGGCTCGACGTACCACGTGCCGCTGCTGCTCGAGCAGCAGGGCATGGTGCACTTCTTCCAGCGCCGTCTCAAGCTCGACGTCGAGCACGGCATTCCGCAGCCGAGCATCCAGCGCGGCCTTGAGCTCAAGACGCAGTGGCGCGAGCTGACTGTCGGGTGAGTGCGTCGGGAGGAGCCCTGCAGAGAAGACGAGCGGCGCGCCGGGGATGAGAACCGTTTCTATTTGCACGTCAGGAGGATCTGCTCGGGCCTCCTCTGCTTGCATGAGCGCCCGGCGCAATGCCTAAAAACAGTACGCTTGTAGCTGATGGCGCACGCTCGTCGGTGGAGGATGACGGTCTCTGCAGGGACCGCAGCTGACACGCAGATCACAGTCACGACCGGCTGTTCGACAAGGTGGAGATCGTGCTCGTGGGCAAGTACACGTCGCTGCAGGACAGCTACATGTCCGTCGTCAAGTCGCTCGAGCACTCTGCGATGCGCGTGAACCGCAAGCTGGTGCTCAAGTGGGTCGAGGCGGGCGATCTTGAGGCGGGCATGGAGGCGGACAACCCGGTGCGCTACCACGAGGCGTGGCACTCGGTCTGCTCGGCCACGGGCATCCTCATTCCCGGCGGCTTTGGCAGCCGCGGCACCGAGGGCATGATCAGCGCCGCGGCGTGGGCACGGTCAAAACGCGTGCCGTTCCTCGGCATCTGCCTCGGCTTCCAGGTCGCCGTCATCGAGTACGCACGCAATGTCTGCGGCATCAAGGGTGAGTGGCTGGAGGATGCGATGGCGTTGCTGTCTAGGATTCCCCCGCGCGCGAGCGCTGCACTTCTCATCATAGGCTGGGCAGCAGGCCCTTGCCTCGAGCGAGCGCCCGTCTTTTGCTGCCCATGCATATCCAGAGTGCCAGAGCAGATGACTGCATCGAGCAAGCTCGCGCGTCTGCATCTGTGGCGTAGCGAGCGACGAGCAGGTCGCACATTCTCCCTTGTTTTCGCCGAGCACTCCGCTGATGCACGACACGCCCACTCGCAGATGCCGGCTCGTCCGAGCTCGACGCCGAGTGTGCCTCGCCCGTCGTCATCTACATGCCCGAGATCAGCAAGACGCACCTTGGCGGCACGATGCGCCTCGGCTTGCGGCCGTCGCTGTTCAGCGAAGGCAGTGAGAAGTGGAGCCGCATCCGCAAGCTGTACGGCGGCGAGCCGGTGGTGTGGGAGCGCCACCGCCACCGCTACGAGATCAACCCGGAGTACATTGAGCGCATCGAGCGCGGCGATCCTTCGCGCTCTGCGGGTGCCACTCCGCCAAGCGGAGGCCACGCTCGGCCCGTGACGCCGCAGAACCAGACGGGCCGTTCGGGCCCGCGCAGTCTGCCCACGAGCCCCTCGCTGGGCTCCGACGCCTTCTCCTCCATCCTGCCTCAGGCGCGCGCAGAGGGCGAGGGCTCGCGCGACACGCTGCGCTTCGTGGGGCGCTCCGAGTCGGGCGAGCGCATGCAGATCGCCGAGCTCGTCGAGCACCCGTACTTTGTCGGCATGCAGGCGCACCCCGAGTTTGCCAGCCGGCCGCTGAACCCCAGTCCGCCGTTCCTCGGCTTCGTCGCCGCGGCCGTGTCGCAAGAGGCGCTGCAGGAGCAGATGGCGCGGCAGAAGAACTTCCGGCCGCCACACCCAAAGGCGCGCATGCTGCTGGAGAGCGAGGCGCAGCGCCTGCAGGAGCAGCAGGGCCAGACGGCGCTGCCGCAGGAGGAGAAGAGCGCACAGACGCCGCCCGGCGTTGCCACGCCCGTGCGCGGCCGCAGCCCGAAGGCGCCTGGCCCGAACGGCGTCTCCACCAAGGCCAACTAATCCTACGCCTCTCTTGCCCCCTGCCCCTCCTTGCCCCGTCTCTCTCCCTCCTCCCCCCATCCCCACCATACATATTCTCTGCTCTGCTCGATCAATCGTCACTCCCGAAGCCCGTCCTGTACTTTACATCAGCCGCCTCTCTGGCCTTGCCGCCATCGCAATCTCTATTCGCTCGCACATTACGTCCTGGGGCTCGTCCATCGATGCATCTGCGAGTGGCGCTGAACAAAGGGGGGGGGGGGGGGCGGCGCCTAGAAGTGGTACTTGGGCTTGGCGTCGCTCTGCTCGACGATGGCCCATGCCTCGTCGATGCTCTGCACCAGCTCGGCGGGCAGCGGGCCTTTTTCAAAGTCGAGCAGATTCTGCGGTGGCGGACAGGCGAGAGAGGAAGTCAGACGAGGGGGCCCAAGAGCGAAAAGAGGAGGGGAGGAACACGCACTTGCTCGATGTGGTTGAGCGACGAGGCGCCGATGATGCTGTGCGCGTCAGAGACGTCAGCTTGGAACGAACAGGGGTGGGGGGGGGAGCTCACGTAGCGTCGCCAAAGTCGGGCTTCAAGATGGAGTGATGCTGCACCCAGCGCAGCACCGTCTCGGGCAGCGTGAGGCCGTGCGTCTCTGCGGCGCGCTTGAGCAGATCGATGGCGTCAAAGTAGGCCTCCTTGAAGTAGCGCGCGCGGTACATTTGGCCCTGGCGCGCATTCTTGTCGAAGCGCGAGCCCTTCTCGATGCTGGCCTGCTGCTCGGAGCCGGCGCTCTCGCGCTCATACTTGCCCGACGCCAGACCGCCGAGCAGCGGGTTACTGCCAGCCAAGCCATTCAGTATGTGTGGCCAGGACGGGTGGGAAGGTGTGGGGGGGGGGGGGGGGGGGGGGGGGGGGGGGGGGGGGGGGGGGAGGGAAGACGCACTAGCCGTAGAAGCTGATGCCGTGCTCACGCAGCACGGGGAACAGCGGAGCTTCGGCCGTGCGAGCGAGGCAGTTGTACAGGCCCTGATACACGCTCGGCTTGACCCACGCATGCTCGTCGCACAGCCTGCAGATCTCGCGCACCTCGTCGGCCGTGTACTGCGTCCCCGGGTTTCGAGCGCGGAACATCAGCGAGGGCGCGAAGAAGGGGAGGGGAAAGGGGGAAAAAGGGGGGAGGGGGGGAGCAACGCACGTTGGAGATGCCGAAGCGCTTAAACTTGCCCGCGCGATACTCGGCATCGATGGCAGCGAGTGTCTCTTCGAAGGGCGTCTCGCGGTCGGGGGCGTGCAGGTAGTACTGGTTGCGTGCGCGTGGCGTGGCGATCAGCTCTCTCGTTTGCGCTGCCCACGCAGGCTCGAGAGGGGGAACGCACCAGGTCGACGGCGTCCATCTTGAGTGCCTCGAGCGAGTCGTGCAGGCAGCGATGACTGTAACAAGCATGGGGTCGTCGTCTCGCTCAGCATCTTGCAGCTAGATAGGCAGCGCCAGAACAACGCACATGCCCTCCGTGCCGTGGTCGTACTCCTTCTCAAACGGCACCATGCCCTTGAACCGCGCGTTTGGAAAGTTCTTCGTCGCCACCTGGAAGCCCTGCTTCGCGACGCCCATCTGGGAGAGGAAGACTTCGGAGGTGCCGGCGCCGTACATGCGTGCGCTGTGCGCCAGGGCTGTCAGCTGGGAGTGGAGGAGACGAGGAGAGGAGGCGACTCACGAGTCTAATTCGCGGTGGCCGTGCTTCTTGAACACTGGCACAGGCGTGGTGAGACGTCAGCTTTGCCCGCCTGGCATGTGCCTACTCGCACGGCCCACGCACCGTCGAGAATGGCCTGGCACGTCTGCACATCGTGCACGCGCGCCTGCTCCTTGCCTGCGGCGCCGAAGGTCATGCAGCCAAAGACGACGTTGATGTTTGTGCTGCTCATGCTTGTTTGCTTGCTGTGGTGGGATGTGGTTGGAGGGCAAGGGCAGCGGGGATGCGCGAAGCAGCGGCAGCGCCAGAGCATGACCAGCGGCAACTTGACGGCGCCGCTCGCCGCCGGCCGCCTCCACCTCCCGCCGCGAATGCCGAGCTGGCCGCCGGCTGGTGACGGCGCTTTGCCCGCGTCAGCACGCTGATCTCACACGCGCGAGCTCAGCGCCGGGCAGCGGCGACGGCGAGCGTCGCGCAGCCACTCGGGTTGCAACAGGCAGCGCCAGAGGCGGCATGCGGGGCGCGAGGCAGCTCGAGAGGCTGAAAGTGAGGGCCTTGGAGAGCAGGCTGCGCAACGAGGCTGTTCCCACGCCTGGCTCCGCACGTGACAAAGGCAACGTGCGCATCGACGGCCGTGCGCGAACCTCGGCTTCTCGTGCGGGAGGAAGAGTTGCGCTTGGTCCCGCCTCCCAGGCCCTGCTGGCGCCTCTCCCGCTCTCTTCTCCACCACACCTTCACCCGTTTCTCACACCCCCAACCACTCTCATCATCATGCCCGGCCAGTTCGACCTCGTTGCGTTCGGCAACCCGCTGCTCGACATGCAGATCCGCGACGGCGAGGAGGTGCTCAAGAAGGTGGGTCGGTGTGGTTGCTGCTGCGGGGGGCGGTGCGAGGCGCGGCTGCCACACGCATGAGAGGCTGACAGTGGGCACGGCGAGCAGTACAACCTCAAGTCCAACGACGCCATCCTTGCCGAGGAGTCGCACCAGGTGAGCATCATCCGTTGCGCGTTGATTGCGCTGGAGTGTGGTGCTGAACAGCTGGCGCGGCGGCACAGAGCATCTACGAGCACATCGTGGAGAAGTACGACGTCGTGTACGTCGCCGGCGGCGCCGCTCAGAACACTGCGCGCTGTGCGCAGTATGTGCTGCCCGAGAACTCGACGGCCTACCTCGGCTGCGTGGGCGACGACGATCTGGCCCAGCAGCTGCGCGCCGCCAACGACAAGGAAGGCCTGCGTTCGGCCTACCAGGTCAACAAGGCGCTGCCGACGGGCTCCTGCGCCGCCATCATCTCCGGCCACGACCGCAGCCTCGTGACGCGCCTCGGCGCCGCCGAGAGCTTCAGCAAGGCGCACCTCGAGACGCCCGAGGTCAAGAAGCTCATCGCCGAGGCCAAGTTCTTCTACATGGGCGGCTTCTTCGTCACCCACGGCGCCGAGAGCGGCCTCATCATTGCCAAGCAGGCCAAGGCAAACGGCGTGGTGCGTGCGCGCCCCCCTCACTCTCAAAGCGCCGCATTGCCACTTGCTGACAATACGTGGCTGGCCCCCCTCACAGCCGTTCTCCCTGAACCTCTCTGCGCCCTTCATCCCTCAGTTCTTCTCGCAGCAGCTCGACTCCATCCTGCCTTACGCGTCGCTGGTGATCGGCAACGAGTCGGAGGCGGTGGCGTACGCCGAGGCGCACTCGTACGGCACCTCGGACCTCAAGGCCATTGCCGAGAAGCTCGCTGCCTCGCCCAGCGAGCTGCAGGGCGCGCGCACCGTCATCATCACGCACGGCTCCGAGCCGACGATTGTCGTCGAGGGCGGCCGCACGCGCGAGATCGAGACGGCCAAGATTGCGAGCGAGGACATCGTGGACACCAACGGCGCCGGCGATGCCTTTGCCGGCGGCGTCGTGGGCGCGCTGATTCTCGGCAAGAGCATCGAGGAGGCCGTCAAGGTGGGCCAGAAGCTGGGCGGCATGTGCATTGGCCAGGTCGGACCCTGCCTCAAGTTCCGTGAGTCGTCGCAGCGACTCGCTTCAATGCCAGGCGTCTCCGCTGACGCGCTGCGCCACCAACAGCCAAGGAGCAGATCATCTAAAGCCCGACCTTGCTTCGCTCGCTCTCTGATCCCTCTTGTCGTTCGCGCACACTCCACTTGCACAACGCTCTCATCGGCGTCCCCTCTCTCCCCCTTGTCTTTCTTTCGCACCACTCCCACTCTCTCCCACACCCACACACACGCTCCTGCATCTGTATCAGTATTTCAACAGACTACCAAACCCAACCTCCCAGACCTCACCTCGCCATGCCGCAGCCTTCTCCAGTCCACGTGCAGTGTGTGCGAAGGCAAGGGAGGAGCGCAGACAGCAGGACAGGGTGCGCGATGCCGCATGCCCTCGTGCCCTTGCCGTGTGCTCAACGGCCTCGCAAGAACGCTCCGCGAGCATGCAGCGTAAGCACACCTTTCAGCTTGCATCTTCGGCCACAGGACCCTGAAAAGCACGCATCCCGTCCGATCTGCGAAGTTAAGCAGGCTATCGCCTAGTCCAGTACTGCGTTGCGGCACCACGCGGGAATGCTAGGTGCTGAAGTTGTCCTTTGTGGTGCGTTTGTCTCCCTGCTGCTCTCGCTGCCTTGCGCTCTTACCCTCTCTCTGTCGCTTCGCTTGAAATCACTGATGACTGCGGGTGCCGGTGTGCCGCTTGATGAGGCCAAGCAAGCCGGAGTGCCGGAGCGCGCGAGGAGCTCATCATCTGGCAGGCGCGAGAAGCGCTAAGAAGCGAGCTTGACGCGCGAGCCGCCGGCTCGGCGGTGCCCCGCAGCCGCGTTTGCCGCGCGCCGCCTGCAACTGGCGCGCGCGCGTCTCTTCTCATCGGGCTGTGCTTCTCTCTCCGCTCTCCATCTTGCTGCGCTCCACTCTTCCACGCTCCACCTCTCTCGCGCTGTCTCACCGGCAGCTTCCCCCACCTCCAAGCCTCAGTCTCGACAACGTCTCTCTCTCTCCCCCTTGCCGCGCCCGGCGAGGCGGTTTGCGCAGCCATGGCGCCGGCGCGAGCGCGGCCGTCGCCGTTCGACAAGCACACCGGCGCCTCGGCCACGGCCATCTCCAGCGGCTTCCACACGGTGCTCAACATGGGCCCGCAGCCCGCCATGCCCGGCGCGCCGCCCGGTGCGCCGGCACGCAGCGGCGGAGGCGGCGACTGGCTGCGCGGCCTCAAGGAGAGCAGCGGCATGGGCACGGCGGCGGCGGCAGAGGGCGAGGCAGAGGAGGACGAGGAGGACAGCGATGATGTGAGTGCCGCCACGAGAGGCAAGCGACACCTCGCATCGCAGCAGCACTGAACGGAGACACAGGACAGCAGAGCAGACTCGCCCGCGGCGGCCAAGCAGGGCAAGGGCGGCAGCAAGGGCAAGGGCGCAGCAGGCAAGAAGAAGGCGAGCAGCGGCGCCGCAGCCGACACGTGAGTCGCAGTGTGCTGTCACAGCTGGCTGTGCTGCGAGCGCTGTGCTCATACGGTGGGCCTGGGCACCATCCATCTTTTGGCAGCGCCGAGCAGCGCAAGGCGCAGAACCGCATTGCGCAGCGCGAGTTCCGGCAGCGCAAGCAGCAGTACATCCGCGCGCTCGAGGGGCGCGTCGAGCTGCTCTCCAGCGACCACGACACGCAGGTCGACCGCCTGCGCTGGGCGCTGCGCGGCCTGCTGGCGGAGAACAACCAGCTGCGCGAGGTCGTGGGCAACCTGGCGGCCTTCATTGGCGAGGGCATGATTGGCGGACCACTGCAGAAGAACGGCATGTCGAGAGATGAACTGGAGGCGCTCATCATGAATCGCAGCGAGAAGAGTGAGTTGCCCCCTCGCTCTCCTTTCTCAGGATGTCTGGAGAGAAGATGCTGAACCATGGCGTGCGACTAGCCATGACGGAACAGTGGCAGAATTGGCCCGGCGCTACCGAGGTGCGTCTCGTGGTCGCGCTCGGCGCAAGTCTCATGCCGCTGACATCTAGGACACACACAGTGCGAGGAGCTGCGCAAGATCCGTCTTGAGGCGTCACTGCCGCCCGAAGGTCTGCCCGAGTCTCTGCCAAGCAAGAGAGCCGCAGCCGCAGGCAGCACGTCGACGCCGGGCAGTGCGAAGCGCAAAGCCAGTGGCGATGCGCTGGCTGCACAACAGGCGAAGCGCTCGGCCACCACTGCAGCTCAGGCACCGACGACGAGCAGCAAGGAGAAGGAGCGTGAAGGCAGTGCCAAGGCGCGCGAAGGCAGCGCTGCAGCCTCTACGCCGGCGACAAACAGCCCGACGACGGCAGAGGCGAGTCGGCTGCGCATGCCGCACAGCGCCGCGCAAGCCGAGCCTTCACCGCTCGGCGTCAGTGCCGCTGCCGCGGCACCGGCCAGCATGCCTCAGCCGCTAGCCGCTGCACCACCAACTCCAGCGTATCCCACGCCCCTCAGCCACGTCAACCTCGTGTTCGGCGACGGCCAAGGACTGGGCTTCAGCGGCGCCAGTGGACCAAGCCTCTGGGGCATGACGCCTCCCTCCTCGTCTGCGCCCAGCGCAGAGTTCTTCCGCACGGGCATGACGCCGGGCGCCAGCGAGTCCGACGCGCTGCTGGCCAGTCTCTTTGGCGCAGATGCCCTGTCGAGCTTTGGCGCGTCCATGGCTGCGCCTTCGCCGGGCATGCGCGCTGCTCTGCCCCCACACGTCGCCTCGCCCATCTCCATGGCGTCCGGCAGCGCCGCGGCGCTGCAGCAGCAAATGGCTCCACCTTCTCACCCCTCGGCTTCTCCGGGCCGCTTTGCAGCGGGTGGCAGTGCCGTGCACTCCAGGCACGGCTCAAACGCCTCGGCGTCGGCTTCCCTCATTGAGGCCGTGGCGGAAGTGACGTCGCGCGCAATGTCGGCGGTGGGCAATGGCGAGATGGCCGACGAGATTGAGCGCATCAACGCCGTCGTGCGCCGCGCCGCCGAGAAGCGCCGACGCCTCGCGGGCCACGTGCCTTCGCCGTCGTCGTCGTCCGCTGCGGCGGGAGAGATGCAGGACGGGAACCGCATGGCACAGGCGCCGTACGTGGCCCCTACGGGAAGGACGGTGGGGCCGGAGGAGCTGGAGAGATTGGGAGAGGCTAGTGCTCAGGTGAGTGTGTGTTGATCTTGGCGCGCGCCGCTGCTGCCGCCGCCGCCGCCAATCGGGCTGTCCCCGCTCTCGCTGCTGACGGCGCTCTCATGCTGCTTCCCAGCTTGCGTACCACATGGTATGTGCTGCCCTGCTTGGCACCGTCCTTCTTTGCTCGACGCACGCCTTTTTATCTCACCATCTCCCGCTCGTAATTTCGCACAGCGCAACTTCCGCAGGAATCCAGCGTATCGCCTGCCGCCTCTGTTGAAACGTGCGTCTTCGCCGCCGTCGCGCCCGTCCGGTGGGGCCACGGGGACGTCATGGAGGCACAAGCATGGGAGACGCTGACACTTTCTCTTCTTACCGTGATGCACAGCGAGCGAACTGCAACAAAGCGTGCCGCACGATCCACGTCAGTCGAGTATAGCCTTGCCCGCATTGATGGCCCAGCACATCTACTGACGCCTCTCGTGCGCCCAGTCATCGATGGCATGCCATACCCGGGCATGCGCGACTGTGAGTGCTGCCTGCAGCGCAGTGTTCGTGCCCCTCATCCACTCTCTGCTGACTGCCGAGTCTGGTCCTGCAAAGTGCTCATCAAGCATCAAGACACACTCGACATCGAGGCCGTCTGGCTGGCCGTGATGGACTATTCGCAGCTGCACGAAGGCGTGCGTGGCCGTTGCTCTTGCCATTGCAAGACTCCGTGGCATAGAGCTGACGCCCCTTCGGCGGACTCTCGCAGGACGTCTTCTCGCCATGCGTGTGGGAGATGCACATTCCCTTCTTTGTGCGCTTCCCGTGCGTTCTTTGTTGCCTGCGCGAAGAGAGGGCATGTGTGGGGGGCGTTCGCTCTGCGTTGTCGCTGACTACTTGCGCTGGCGCGCCCGCCCGTCACACAGGCAACTGCTTGACGAGCAGACGCTGGCGAACTCCAACAAGTGGTGCGTCGTGCCCCCCCCCCCCTCACACACAGGAGGCTCCGCATACGTTGAGGGCCTACCTGGCTGATGCTCTCGAACGTCTTTCCTGTGCCGCAGGCGTGCCGAGCGCGGCGAGCCGACGATGACGCTGGAGCAGGTGCGCCAGATGGCGGCGGAGCATGCTGCCTCGGGCGGCACGCCGACGACGACGGCGTAGCGCGCCAGGGCAGCACAGACGCCCGCATTTCTTCAAGACCCTCCCTCGTTACCTCTACTACTGCTTCTCACCATGTCGCCCCACCGTCACTCTGCACTTGACATCTGTATTTGTTTGCCTGCGTCCTATTGCCACGCACCTGCGCACAGAAGGCAGCTCGAGCGGCGAGAGAAGCGGCGCCGCCTCATCTCCGCGGCGCGTCGTTGGCGGCGGCGGCTCCAAGTAGAGTCCGCAGCGCCGCGCATCGTGCGAGAGGCAAGCGCGGCGGGGACGCGACGTGTGGAGCTCGTGCCGCCGCTTCCTTCCTCTCCCTCACCCCCACCTCCGCCCCGCCTCGCACCCCGCTCATCTCTCTCCACGCGGGCCGCGCCCCACTCTGCATCCACCTCGGCGCCGCTGCACACCCTCCACTCCTCGCAGCGGCCTGCCCCGTGAGGCTTCGGCGCAGGGGCAAGCGGCGCCGCCCGGCCGCCTCCACTCGTGCGCGCCTGCGACCATGTCGCGTCGCGCCGCTCCGCCGAGCGCCGCGTCTGGCGCCCCAGGCGTGCCCAGCGGCTCGTCGGTGCTCGGCGCCAGCTCCTTTGGGCTGCGTCCCTCGGCGCCACGCTACACGCTTGGCCTCTCACGGCCCGCGCCCAGCTCTGCTGCGCGGCCACTGCGCCTCAGCTCCGGCGGCGGCGGCGTGCCAGATGAGATTCCGCGCGCGCCCTCCTTCTCGGCATACGAGACGCTCGATGCCGCCGAGTTCTGCTACGACCTGCGCGAGCGCATCGGTGCCGCGCTCGGTCGGCCGCCGCCGCGCGCCAGCCTGGCTGCCAGTCGCAGCAGCGCAGCCAGCAGGCCAGTCGCGACGTCCCGCAGCGCCGCGGAGCTGCAGCCGACGGAGCAGGACATGCCGGACGACCTCGCGGCCATCTTGGCACCGCAGCCACAGCGTGTTAATGGTGCTACTCTCAAGGACGGAACGTCGAGCGTCGAGGATGCGCGGCGTCTCTCCAACTCCGAGTGGCTGCAGCGCGCTGAGGCAGCACACGCGGCGCGCCACGCCTCGCGTGCCCACGCTCGCGAGGCCGCAGTGCAGACCGAGGCGCCGCTGCCGCATCTGCGTGCCAACCATGCAGGCCCGAGCAGCGAGATCATGCTGCCCGGAAGCACGCCTCGCGCGGCCGCGCCGCTCCAGACGCCCGGCGCCGCCGTCGACCGTGCGCGGCTGGCGGGCCGGGCCGTGGAGGAGCTGCTGGGCATCGGAGGCGTGGCGCCCGAGAATGGCGAGCGCTTCGCGCTGGCCGACAGCTTCGTGCCGCTGGCGGGCGAGGGTGACGAAGAGGCAGATGCGGACGCCGAGGCAGAGGACGACCTCGCTGGGCCCTCGGCGCTCTTTGATGCACCGGGCGGCATCGAGGAGGTGCTGCGCCGGCGGGCACAGCTCGCAGACGCACAGCCCGCGGCCAGCCCGGCTGCCTCGTCGCAGAGCAACAAGCGGCGTGCACCGCTCATCGAGGTGAGTTGGCGGCGAGGACCGACCTCCTGCTCGCACAGTGCTGACAGAGCCCGTGCGGCACGCTAGGAGCTGAGGCAGGACACGCCAACGCTCGAGGAGATCCTGCAGCGCAATGCTGCGGAGCTGGGCGCCGAGGAGGACGAGGAGGCAATCGGTTCTGACTCGGAGAGCGAGGAGAGCAGCGTGGAGGACGATGGCTCGGCTCAGTCGTTCCTGGATGACGAACAGGACGGAGAGGCGGCAGAGTCCGAAGAGGATGAGGACGAGGATGAAGACGATGAGCTGGGGCTCGACGCGATGGACGCTCCCCGTGGCAGTGTGCAGCTGCCGATCACCAACGGCATGGCTTCGCGTCGCCTGGTGCTCGAGGAAGATGACGGCTCCGAGCACGACGGCCCTGAGGAGGATGACGAGGACGAGGATGACGACGGCCTCGGCGAGGAGGACGACGAACTCAGCGACGCGGCCGAGCCTCGACAAGCTGCGCAAGCCGCCGCAGGCGATGTCATCGAGCTGCTCGACTCGGACTCGGACGACGACCGCGCACCGCCGCCGCCAGCACGCGTCTCGGCGCCAGTCTTTGCGCTGCAGGAGGCCGAGCTCGCCGATGAGAGCATCGACGAGTCGGGCGACGAGCAAGGCGCGCCGAGCGAGCACGCAAGCGCGCTGTGGCAGAAGGAGCAAGATGATCGCATGTCCGACGCCGAGGCGGCCGAGGAGCAGCCGCAGCCTGACGAGCCGCAAGACGAGATCTGGGACGCGCTGCAGGCTCGTGCTTTGCCGCCTCCGCCTTTCGAGCAGCTCGCCGACGCTGCGATGAGCCAGGCGCCCATGGACTTTGCGCAGCCGCCGGCTTTGCCGCACGGCTTCCCGAGCTCGATGCAGCCCTTCAGCGATCCGCCGGCGGCGGCGCACACGGGCAGCAGCAGTCTACCTGCTTCACAGCTCGATCCGGCGCTCTTCGGCCTCACTGCAGAATCAGGCGACGGCAGCGCGGCTGACTCCCCCTCCATCACCGAGTCGGCACAAGTGCAGAACTGGGACTGGTCTCTGGGTGGAGCGCTCGAGCAGCCGGCGCCCACATCGCAGACGCACACGCCCGTCGCCGAAAGCGGCTTCTTCTCCGACCTCCTCAACGACCAGTCGAGCAGCGTCGACTCGCCGCTGCACGCATCGGCACCTCGTCTGCCGCTCGACGACAGCGCCATCGCTGCGGCGGTGCAGGCTGCACAAGCGCACGCCTCGTCCTTGTCGTCGCCGAGCAGCGCGGTGGCACTGCCGCCGGGAACGCCTGGCTCAGAGCGTCCTGCGCCGGAGTTGCTCGACCTCGCAGACACGCCGGCGGCCTCTTCGGCTGCGTTGCTGCTGCTGAAGGACCAGGTCACGGGCAGCGGGTCAATGGCCACGTCGGTGGCCAGCGAGGCGAGCGCAGTGAAGCACAAGCACTCGTCGGCACCCGGCACCTTGGCGGCGCCCGTCGATCTCGTGTCGGGCAACACCAGCGTCGCGCAGCAGCACTCGAGCGGCAGCGCGGCAGCTGCCAATGAGTCCGCCAGTGCTGCTCGCTCGCAAGTCGAGGCCAGTGCGCCCTCGACGCCGAGTGCTGTACCGCTCCTGTCTCGCCAGACTGTCTCGGCCGAACCAGCCGTTCCTGCCGAGGGTGCTGCACTGCTCGCCTTCAAGCGCGAGCATGCAGCGCAGTCGACCGGGTCAACTGCTGCCTCGCTGGCAGCCACCGATGGCGCCGCGTCGACTGCCGCGCCGCTGAGCGTGGCCGTGTCGCTGCCGCTGGGCGATGCCTCGGCTCTAGCCTCGTTCAAGGCGCAGCTGCCAGAGCAGTCCGGGCAGCCTCACTCCGTCACCTCGGTCGCAGGCAGCGAGGCTCATCGCAGTGCACCGCAGACGCCCGCAGCCGAGGGCCTGGTGTCACTACCCTTGGGCGATGCTTCTGCCCTGGCGTCGTTCAAGGCGCAGCTAGACGCGCAGCATGGACATCCTCAGTCCGTCACCTCTGTCGCGGGCAGCGAGGCACACCGCAGCGCGCCGCAGACGCCCATTGTCGAGGGCATGCCAGTCGGAAGCGCGAAACAGCTGCTGGCCTTCAAGACGGAGGTCGAGCGCAATGGTGCGCTCGCAAGTGCGGCCTCGTCACAGGCGGGCTCGGAGGGACCACGCGGCGCTGCAGTCCTCACCTCGGGCTTGCCTGGCACACCCGTGGCGACCGGCGCTCCTGCTCTCGTCGGCACGCCTGCCGCTGCTCCGGTGGATCGCGATCCGCTCGTGGCGGACGCTGGCGAGCTCATTGCCCTGAAGACGGTGATCGAAGAAGACAGGCACGAGATGCCGCAGGTCTCAGCGGCGCCTTCGCTCGCTGGCTCGGACCACGCTGCCGCCGCTGCCTCGGTTGCGGGCTCAGATCGTGCTTCTGCGGCCCCCTCGCCCGCAGTCGCCGAGCAGGCGCCAGAGGCGCCGCAACATGCTTCGACAGCAGCCGAGGACACCTCAGACGCAGCTGCAGCGCTAGCCAAAGAAGCTGACGACTCGGATGCGGCGCCCAAGTTGCAGGATGCGCCTGCGGCCGGCGAGGAGGAGGATGAGCTCTCTACGCCGGTCGGTGAGGCCGAGGCCGACGAGGTGCTGCTACTGCCAAAGTCGCAGCCGTTCGAGCCTCGGCGTTCGAGCGCACCGGCCGAGCCGAGTGGCGAGACGCGGGACGAGGCAGCAGCGTCAACGGAGAGCGCGATCAGCATCGCGGACGCAAGCCCGCCGCGGATCGCGGACAGCCCTCCACCCGTCGAGAGCAGCGATGTAGTGCGAGAGCAAGCACCTGCCGAAGACGAAGAAGCTGCAGCGCCTCTCGAGATTGGCACTCCACCGCCTGCGGAGGAAGCTGCTGCGCCTCTCGAGGCCAGCACTCCGCCTCGAGTCACCCCGCCGCCTGCTGAGGGAGCCGCAGCGCCATCTGATGCTGGTACGCCGCCGCCAGCTGACCAGGCCGCACCGGCAGCACCGGCCTCGCCTGTCCGTCGCAGCTCGCCGCGCAAGCGCGCTGCCTCACCAATCGAGGACAGCAGCAGCTCGACTGCGGCTGAGCGCAAGCCTTTGCGGTCCGTGAAGCGCAAGGTCGAGGAGACGGTCCCACAAGCCGATGATCAGGCAGGGCCCTCTCACTCTGCCGCAAACGAGGCGAGCACCAGTGCATCAGCAGCGGGCGGCTTCGTCTCGAAAGCATCCGGCTTCCTCACCCAGATGTTCAGCCTGCGGCGCAACCGACACTTCCACCATCATGGCGCAGGCCCGGCACGCGTAGCGTCGTCGCCGCGTTCGGTACGCTCGGCCACGCCAGCCAGCATCAAGGGTGCGGCTGCAGCTGGCTCGTCGCCGCTGAAAGCGCCCACGTCGTCGGCGGGCAACAGCAGCGACGTCGAGATGGCCGACGCCGAGCCTGCGCTGCGCAAGGGCAGCTCGGTGGCGTCTGAGCAGGCTGCGGCTGCTGAAGCGCCGGACGGAGTGCAGCTCGCGGATCAAGAGATGCAGGAGGCCGAGGACGAGGACGAGGCAGCGAGTGTTGGCGGCTACGTTGGACCAGCCACGCGCTCTCGGTGAGTGATGATGCGCCACATCATCTCTGCCTCTGCTCACGTCTCGTGCAGGTGCTCGTACCATCTCATCACGCTGCCGAGCGCCACGTCGCCCAAGGGCCGCTGCACCTTTGCCGTGCCCGGCTGCTCGATCGCGCACGACAAGCTCGCCAAGGAGGACGCGCGGCATCTCGGACCTGCCAGCGCCGGCGACAACGAGACGAAGGAGTGGTTCGACCCGCAGATGCTGCCGGGCGAGCTGTACCACGCTCTGTCGCGCATTTGCGACGTCGACCTGCTCGAGGACGTCGCCATCATGCCGGCATCGAAGCCCGAGGGCGTCAAGTCCTGGCACGACGATGGGCCGCCGGAGGATGAGCAGGCCTTCATCGACGATCCGCACTTTGCGCCAAAGGAGTGGCTGCACCAAGGCGCCTCCTCTCCACTCAGCACGCCGCCGCCGCAGGAGCAGCCTCGGCCGCTCGGCGAGGACGAGGAGATGCGCAGTCCCTCACTGCCGCCTGCGACAAGAGGCTCCGACGTCCTGACGGTCGAGATCGACGCACCGGCGGCGCACTCCGGCCGTCGCTCGGCAGGCAAGACGCGCGCCACTCCCGAAGCATCTGCCTCTACATCTCCGCAGACACCGAAGCGGGCGCGCAGAGTCCTACGCCACCCACGCCGCTCCGACCCCTCCGGGCCCGAGGCAAACTACCAGCCGCGCTCGAGCGACTCGGACGACGACAAGCCTCGCTCGCGCAAGAGCTCGCGCCGCGCCGGCAGCCAGGCGTCGCCTGCTGTCGCCGACGCAGCTGTCTTTGACGATGCAGACCTGAGCATTGCGTCTCTCGAGCAGCGCGCCTCGGCGCCGCCCGCTGACGACGGCGAGGAGAGCGAGCTGGCAGTGCCGGCGCTCAAGACGAAGCGCACGTACCAGCGCCGCAAGGCCAACGACTCGTCGTACCGCGAGAGCATCGCCGACCCCGCGGCACCGCCCGAGTCGGAAGAGGAGGACGTGGCGGCGCGCGCCGCGCAGGAAGCCGCAGCGGAGAGCGCACGCAAGGCCTCGTCGCGCCGCCGTGCCGAGCGCCAGAAGGCCGAGCGCGCAGAGGGCCGCGAGGTCGAAGCAGAGCTCGCGCTCGAGTCGCAGGCGCCGGGCCCCTCAAGCGTGGCGCGAAGCGGCAGTGCCAAGAGCCGCCGGCGTGTTGCCGACCCGGCGTACAAGCCGGCGGCTAGTTCTGACGCCGAAGGCTCTGCATCCGACGAGCAGCCCGGCGCGGCGGCGCCGTCGGCGTCGTCCCGCGTCAGCCCGGCCAGGCCCAAGCCTCGTCCGCGCGCACGCAAGAGCTCCAGCACCGCTGCTGCCACTGCGCGCAAAGGCAGCACACCGCGCGCCGGCTCGGCCAAGGCTGCGACGCCGGACATGGGCAGCACGGAGCCTGCGGCGTCTGCTGCCTCTCCCGGCCCCTCTTCTGCCCCAGCGCCGCGCCGTCGTAGCGGGCGTGCCAGCTCGAGCCGCGTGTCGCGCGAGGCAGAGTAGTCTTGCCCAGCGCGCCTGTGATCCAAATGTCACCGCGTCTCATCTCATCGTCCCTCAGCCGCCGCGTGTGCACGCTTGACGATCTCATTTCGCCGCAGCGAGGCTCTCGGCAGGTGAGGCCTAGCCGCTGAGCGGCAGGCCGCAGACATCGCAGTCTCCCGAGCTGCGCTCGTTGATGAACGTGCAGTGCGGGCACGCCTTGCCGCCAGCTGCTGCCGTGCCCATGTCGTCGTCCCGTTCCGGCGGCGGTGGTGAGCGCGCTCTTGCGGGTGCGACTTCATGTGCGCCCGCACTGCTCGCCGCGTCCTCAAACATGTCGTCGTCGGCGTACTCCAGCTCGTCGTCGTCGTCGTCGTCCGAGTTGAGCTCAATGTCGTCGTCGTCGTCGCCGTTGTAGATGAGCGGGTCGTCGGCGCGTCCGCTGCCCATCACTGCCGCCGCCGGCGCGCGTGCAGGCGCAGCGGGCGCCGCAGCAGGCGCGGCGGGCTTGGCGGCGCGCGGAGTGGACGGGTGGGCGGCGCGAGCCGAAGTGCCGCCGCTGCCGGACATGCCCATCATGTCGCCCACTGTCTTGGACTTCTGCTCCACCGCGCCGGCAGACGGACCTTGCGGCGCGTGCTCGCGGGCGATGGCGCTGAGCGTCTGCCATCCCGTGCGGCTGAGCAATGCGTCGAGCGCCTCGCCCGCATCGTGCGTCGTGGCGACGCGACAGAGCGCCTTCATGTCCTCCGCATCCAGAATGCCACACGTGTCGAGGAAGCACAGCAGGTGCCAGTCGCTCAGCACGCCCACGAGCTTCTCGCGCCGGCGCGTCTCGGCGTCGGAGGCGACGCCGAACTCGCGCGGATGCAGATCGTCGGAGCCGATGACCTGCGCGATGGCGGAACAGGCGCGCCCCAAGTCTTGATCGTGCAGACCTGGGCGGTTCTCGATGGGGAAGCTCGAAGACAAGAATGCGGGCTTTGGCTCGTTCGGGAAGCCGTGTGTGACCTGCAGAGGACGACATCAGCACTGCGGGCAGGCGGGCATCTGCCGCCAGCCACTCACGGTGACAAGCAGGTACTCGACGGGAAACGTCGGCTTGGCACTCTCCTTGACGTCGATCTTGTAGGCGTTCTTGTAGCGGTAGAAGACTTCCGGCACGTAGCGGCTGCCCTCGCTGGGGCGGACGCGGATGATGTTGGGATTGACGCTCGCCTCAATCATGTCGGCCTTGACCATGGCCATGCCCTGTTCGCTGATCTGATACGCCGACACATCGATCGCGCCGTCCTCAGTGCCGGAGAGGACGCAAGTGACAAACTTGGAGTTGAAGCGCCCCGATCGGGAGAAGCGCGAGGGAGAGGCGTTGGCTTGCTGCAGCGTGGCGGCGAAGAGCACCTCGCAGCCGGAGAGGAAGAAGGAATCCTTGTGGCGCTTGCACGCCACTTTGCCCGCCTTGCTTGCGTCTTGCAACGTCGGATCGGCAGGCGTCAGGTCGGTGTAGATGACGCCGACAATGTCGAGGCCGCACTGCTTTGCCAGTGCCTCGACGCGCGCCTGCTCCTCCCACGGCACGCCCAGTGTGAGGCCATCCAGCTCTCCCTCCTGTGGCGGCTCGACGATGGCCTCGACGACGGCCTTGATGCCCATCGGCACCTCCGCGTACGCCTCGTGCCGGCCCAGCAAGAAGCCGAAGCGCTGCGTGCCCGTGGCGCGCCAGAACGCCAGCAGATGCTCGATGAGGCGCGGATGCGCAAACTCGACGTGGTCCAGCATGCGGTACGCCTGCGACTGCAGCGTGATGGCCGACGGCTGACACTTGGTGCAGATGCCGCCCGGCCACGACGCGTGCTGGCCCGAGGGACACGGCACCTTGACGCTGTAGTCTGCCTCCTCGAGCGGCGGAATGTAGGACTGGCTCGGCTTGTTCATCGCAATGTCCTGCTTGCGCAGATAGGCGTTGAAGGAGAGATGCTTGATCTGATGCTCGGCGTGGTATGCGGCGTCGTACGGCTGCAGGCAAGAGTCAGCGCTGAGACGCCGAGGCAGCACGCGATGCCTGCAGATGCAGAGCCCGTCGCCCGCCAGTACGTGCCAGACACACTGCCTCGTAACTCACCTCGAGCGGCATGCAGTAGTCGCACATGGCCTTCTCTCCATGTCTGCACATCTTCTGGTCGCGCGGGCGCGCAATCTTGCCGTCTGCCGCCTGCCAGAAGCGATCGACGGGCTCCTCCTGCGCCGTCTGCCACGGCGCGGGCGCCGCCGGCTTCTTGCCCGCTGCGGCGGCGCTGGCCGACGAGGGGGCGCCGTTGCTGCTGGGCAGCGCGACCGAGGCGCCGGCGGCTGCGGAGCTCGGCCCGGCCTCGGCGCTCGGCGCGCGCGGCGTGTAGGCGGCGTAGAGGAGGTGGCCGTGCCTGCAGGCCTGGCGCGATGAGCCACACATTGGCTGGCATGCGCCCAGCTTGCGTGCCCCCACACACACATCAACAACTCACGCAATGCCCAGCTCGGCCAGCGACGTGCCTGCGAGACTGGCGGCGCTCATCTCGCCGCCGCGCGGCTGGTTGGAGAAGGTGAGCGAGTGCGGCTCGGCGTCGGGCGCCGTCTCGAGCGTCTGATGCAGGAGACATGCGCGGTGAGCTGCGGTGCGTGTGGGCAGAGAGCGCAGACGGCGGCGCGAGGGCGCACCTTGGCAATGAGCAGCGCCGCGTCGTCGCTCGGCTCGAGGGCAAAGCGGAAGAGGCCGTCCTTGGAGCGGACGCGCACGAGCTGCGGCAGCACGGAGCGAGCGAGGCCAGGCCATCAGCGCTGTTGCATCGAGTCGCCGGCTCGCGGCTCACCATGGCGGGCGCAGTGAGGCGTGTGTGGTGGGGAGACACGGGTGCGGGAGGGAGACAGAGAGGAGCGCGTGCTCATCATCACGCTTGCGCGTCGTGTGCGTCCGAGCGCAGCGCCGCCAAGTGGAGGACGATGCGCTGCTTGCTCGAGAGCATTCTGTCAAGCTGGGCGGGCAGCCATGCGCACGTGATGCGTCCTTCGCGCGAGGAGCGCGCGCGCGCGACTCCTTTGTCGCCCTGCCGCGCACGAAGGCGACGGGCTGTGGCGCTGCGCCTGCGTGGCCGCCGCAGCGGCAGCCAGGCCATCTGCCTGCGAAGCCTCTCCCCACCACCACCCATCCCCCTCACCGACTTCAACATGGTGCGCATCGCATGCCCGCGTCTCGCTCTCCATGCTCTGCGTGCTCGTCGATGCTGCGGCAATGGCCCGTCGGCGCTGGCGATGCGCTGCCATGCCCCGGCGCAGCAGCGGGCTTGCCGGCAAGCAAGGCTGCACCGCACAGCGTCTCTCTGCTGCACAGCTCGGCACTGCCTGCCGCACCGCCGCTCGTCGAAGGCAGCAGCGGTGCTGCGGCTATGTGGCTCGACGTTGCCTCGTGGTGCAGCAGCGCTGGCCAGCGGCCGACGAGCATGCTGCTGGCGAGAAGCAGGCATGTCGGGCGCCGCAAGGCTCGGCCCGGCTAGGCCGAGGCAGAGCAACGTGGCAAGGGGCGCACGTCTGCGCGGCAACGTCGTGGCCGGCGGCCATGCATGCTGGCAGTGGAGAGGCTGTGCATGCGTTGCAGTGCTGCAGGTGCTGCAGACCTAGCGACGCCCAACTGGGAGAGATGCTGCGGCTGCGGCCGACGAAGATGGGGCTTCCACTCCATGCGTTGTCGCAAGGCGCTTCATGCTGACGCCCCACATCCTCTGTGCAGGTCAAGGCAGTCAAGGCCCACGAGCTCACGTCCAAGTCCAAGGCGGACCTGACGAAGCAGCTCGACGAGCTGCGCACCGAGCTCCTCTCGCTGCGCGTGCAGAAGGTCGCCGGCGGCGCCTCGTCGAAGCTGGCGCGCATCAATGGCGTGCGCAAGAGCATCGCACGCGTCCTCACCGTCATGAACGCAAAGACGCGCGCCGGGCTGCGCGAGAGCTACAAGGGCAAGAAGCACCTGCCGCTGGACCTGCGCGCCAAGAAGACGCGCGCCATTCGTCGCCGCCTCACCAAGGTAAGTTGCAGGCCCTGGCGCAGCCAGAGCAGCCTTAAAGGGGGGGGGGGAGCGGCGGAGCAGGAAGGAAGAACATGAGAGGCGCGGCACGCGGTGGGGGCTATGCGAGCGGGCAAAGCGGCATCTCTTGCTGGACGACCGGGGCGAAGAGATGGAAGAGCTGCGGTCGTGCGAGCTTTGTCCCTGTGAAGCTCTGCGATCTCAGGAGAGAGAGAGAGAGCGCGGGAGAGACGGCTCGCGGGTAGCGCGTAGCACGGACTTTGCCACCCAGAGGATGGTGGCGTCCCGTCGCGCCGGTCAAGCTCGTTGGGGGTCAGAGGCTGGCTGCGCATCCCTTCCCCCCGACGCCATCGTCCAACAAGCGTGCTAACGCAACCCCCCCCCCCCCCCCTTCTCTTCCCTCTCCCTCAGCACGAGCGCTCCCTCACCACCGAGCGCGCACACAAGCAGAGCGTGCACTTTGGCGCCCGCCGCTTCGTGCTCAAGGCATAAAAATCCCTTCTCTCATTTGCACCAGGGAGCCATATAGGGGCTTTTAATGAGACTTCTGCTTTCGCTTGTCCCCCCTGCTTTGCGAGTCGTGCGACTCCATCGTATGCTGGGCTGACGGGACAGAGACGAAAGTGGCGTGTGTGTGGGTGCAGATGCAATGTCGCGACGAAGGGCCCGTGGACGTGCTATGACATCTTCTCTCTCTCTCTCTCTCTCTCTCTCTCTCTCTCTCTCTCTCTCCTTTGCATCGCTCAGCACGCAATTCCGCTTCCAGCTCGCAGCTCGTCTCACATGCCCACTTAGCCGCCGCGCCTGCTGCTTCAGCGGCGTCTGGAGGCCGTCGGCGCGACGCTGGG